AATGAAGTGCTGCCTTGTGTTTTCCCCTGTTGTGTCTAAAACTCCGGGAACACAATTCAGACTTCATATTATGGAAATGTAATGGTTATATACCTAAAGGGGAAGTGTTTAAGTATATTATAAAGTTTCTTTAAGCGTTTTTTTTTTTAAGTGTTTTCTCATTTTGTGTTTCTGTGTTTCAGTATCCTGTTTAATTGCCATTTAACTGTGGTTTGTGTGTCCATTTCCGTTTGTGATTAAACCGAATAATGTTGCATTCATAATAATGGAGGCTAAAAGTGATGTGTTAAGTCAGCTGAGTGTACTCTGAGCCCGGTACGGGCTCTGTTCTGGAGAGACTTTAAGCACATTTCATGCAGTGTGTGCATGTGTACTTGTATACACACACACACACACACACTCCTCTGGTGAAGAACTGAGCAGACGTAACCTGGTGCTTCCACCCCAGCGGGTAAACATCGAAAGGAGACAGAGGAAGTTTGCAGCTCAGTGTAAAGACTGTGTATGAGTGTGTGTGTGTGTGTGTGTGTGTGTGTGTGTGTGTGTGTGTATCTTGGGGTTGGCAGTTCTCCCGAGGGGGTGCCGTTGAATCACCAGACAGGAAGCGATTAAAACAGGCTGAACACAGCAGCTGTCAATCAACATGAGTGACATCAAAGTCAGGTGTCAGGTGTGCCACAAACAAACAGAAAGCTAGCCAGACCTTTCCTCTGTGGTTGCTGAACCGAGGCCAGTTTTGCTTTAAGAATTTAAAGCTCTTAATGGTGATTTTTAAGGGCCGATTCACATTTTTCTAATGATTCAGTAAAATAAAAAGCCTGATTAATTTACAATCCTTTGTTTGTTGTCACCCATTTCACTCTGAGAATCCCAGCATGCCTTGCAGTCCTTTTTTAACACACTAGAACACAGCTCTGGCAAGAGCTCATTTCATTTTTTTTTTTTATGTCTATTTTGGCTGCATTTCTCAGGTGTACCACACCACGAGAGGGCTGCCTGCGGTTGGAAATACTTTTTTTAATGTTCATGATGCAAATGAAGAGAGGCTCTCCAAATCCCCTCCATACTTCCTGTCACAAAAGATCCACACTGACACTCCTCTCTCCCTAGATTTGATTAAAAGAAAACAGAACATTATGACACTACATAAAAACCAGAGACCATTAAAGGGAAGCTGTATTTTGCTAATGCTCTTTTGAAGCATGAATGGGAAAGTGGTCTCAGACGTTTGGACCCCTCTGCATATCTAACTTGCTTTGAGGAGGAAGGCAACAGTGCACTTAAATCCAAAACAGTGCTGAGGACCAAGGCCACCACTGCCAAGGTCTGAATTTGGCAGTCCAGATACTGCGGAGTAGTTTGGTGCTGAGATCTGCAGAATCCACTCTCCCTGTCTTTAGTGAAATGTAAACAGTACTAGTGTCCTTGTCCATCTGCCCATGCAATGCTTTCAGCAGCAGCACGTTGACCTGACCTGTAAATAAGAAACACAAGTTGTCTTTTTTTTTCTTTTTTTTTTTTCCTGCAGCCGAGATATTCGGTTTTGGCAGACTGAGGAATGTCCCAGTCCCCACCCTGAAGCTTGTTCCATTTAGATTTTCTTCAGCCCTTTCCCGAGCCTGTGTTGCAGCAAAATATCCCCTCTCAGTGAGAACCCACAGACACGCATCGTATTTGTATCTGCAAACCACATTACCCTCAGTTATATGTGCCATTTATCATTTCGTGCCTTATTATGTATAATGTACAGCTAAGGGCTTTTCATTTTTCAGTTTAAGGAGACAGTTGTTTATCGATGCAGAGACTCTTCAATCCACATTCAGAAATGAGTGGAGCTCTATCTTTATGGATGGTTTGTTGTTGTCACCAGCTCCTCCCAGCAGCGATAAAGATATTTGACTCACCATCATTTTGTAGTGGCACCTCACTGCTACTCAGTCCAAACTAATCACCCCTTAACCTCCTATGTTACAGCGATCAACTTGTTTTCGCATACTTCAGTTTTTATCTTCGCTCTCTATTGGTTGATGATGCCTTTTACATAAAAGCATATCTTCTGAATGGCGTCAGTTATGTCAAACTCATAACCGGTGTTTGTTGCAGTGTCAGGTTATGAAACAGGCACCAACTGTGTGAGAGGGAGGAGCAGTTTAATCAAAGTAAGCCAATAAATTTGATAATGGAAGTCATTTATATATTTTTTTTTTTACTGCAGCTAAAACACATAGAAGACACTGAGGTAGTAAGTACTATACATGAAGGTCATCCGTGGTAGAGGTGTTCTTCTTCTGACCTGCTACATGAGCACGGTGCAAGGTGATAATAGTTTTGGATTTTTCCATAGTTCTTATTTTTATTTCGTTTGTGACTTTCTGTTTTCAGTTTAGTTTGAATTCATTTTGAAAGCAGGTCTGTTAGTTTTAGTTCAGTGTTTATTAGTTTCAGTGTCGGTTTTTGTTTTTATTTTTTGTAATATAGGGGATTTGTCTGGGGCGAGATTCAAAAAGGTCAGAAAAGTATTGTGTAATAAAAAGTCAACAAAACATCAAAGCACTTTAAAACTGTATTCACTGAGGACAGATGAACAACCACAAAACACAACCATAAAAGATGTGTGTTAGTCAGTGTTTTCAACTGGACACAACAACAACAACAACAACAACAACAACAACATAAAATATAGAAATGGGCACAAACATGTAAAGAGTCGACACAAGATGCAGCCTTTAGTGCAAAATGTGTGTAACTGTGCTTCTGAGGTAAGATGCAGATAGAGTCAACCTGAGAAAAAAAACATGAAAGAAAGAGGTTTGATTCATTTAGATGAACCAACTCAACATTAACTCATTGACTGCCCAGCACTCGTTGTAGATGCTGCAGCTCTATGGCTCATGATTGCAGTTAATTAACAAGAAAATACTTCATGTGTTGTACTTAACATCGTTAATACAGTGAAATGTTTTGGACACTTAAAGTGCACATGTACTGGTCGTTCACTGAGAGCCAGACAGCTGCTAAGATACTGCTCCATCTGGCACAGCTGAAAAAAATTTGAAGATAGATTTAATATCCACCCAACATACCAGGCTTATTGACAAAGTTAATAAAATGTTTTATTTCAGTTAACAGAAATGTTTTTTTTCACATCTAGTTTTCATTATTTTGTTAGTTTTAGTTCATGATAACAACCTTGTTGGGCTGGATCCAAAATATATTCATCCAAATCTGGTCTTGTAGGGTGTCATCGTGTTGCTTTACATCTAAGGTTTGTGCATTAATATTTGTAATACATGAGTAGATTATGAGGTCTGATCACAAGTGTTTTCTCATGCAAGATGAATGAACTGTAATGACTTGTATCATTTCATGATACTGGGTCCATTCAGTCCCACTGCATTTTGGATCAGGTCTAAATATCTGTAGGTGTTTGAATCAGGTCTGTCTGTCCTTGGGTCCCTTTCAGATGAGGCTCCAGTTATTTTGAAATTAATTTATGCAGGTGTGTTTCATATCAGATCCAGTATTTTTTCAACCCATGCAGACCTCTAATACATGAAGGCCTTTGTGTGAAGCTATCATGATTTAAGAGAGATACGGGGGTTGCATGATTAATCTCTTTGATTATATCTCTCTTACATCTCAATTTCACATACTTTTGCAAAGAGTTATGTTAAAAAATCTCAAGCCTACATCAGCTGAAGGTTGCAGAAATATCTCCATACGACAGAGTCTTTTGCCATGAAAAGAAAATTACATTTTTATGGGACTACCCAGAGCCAGTGGATCCTGTAGGATGTTCATGTAGAGAGCTAACATGTTTTTTTTTTGTTTTTTTTTTATAAATAAAGCAAAGTTTCCTAAAATTAAAGCAGGTGTTTTTGGAGGATGTAACATGTTGACAGTTTGGTTGTTAGGCATGAGCATGATCCCCCCCCCCCCGCACCACCACCACCACCCCCCCATTAAAAATGTATAATGACTCTGACTTTCCGTGATAAATGGAAAATGCCAGAGAAGGAAATTTTCAATTCACTTTGTAAATTGCCCAGGCACAAGTTAATTTGTTTGCAAAGGCAAAGATTGAAATAGTTGTTATGGAGCAAGTCTTGCATATTTTCCCACGGTTAAAGAGTATAGAATATTGATCGTGCAGCGAGCTGACAGATACCTCGTCCTGGACACTTTGTCCTTGTGGTCCACAAGATTGCTAAGCTCTCATGGGGAATTGATGCAAAGGCCTGAAAGCAGTCAAAGCAAAAGAGTCACATTTTGGAGACGCCGTGGAGCCGGACATTTACATTTACGTCTGCAGGGGAGATTGCTGCCTTTCCTGTAACGTAGAAACAGTGTGGATCCACTGTATCAGTTTGTGTGTTTAGGGCATATCGAGGCTACACTGCTGCTACTGCAGCAAGGAGAAGGGAAACTCACCGCATTCATCTCTCACTTTATCCAGACTTTGTCAGTACAAGCAGAATAATAATGCACACCAGTGTTGTTTTTGTGTGAGACCATTTAACTGCTGTCATAAATCTGGAGATGATTAGTAACAACACGCTGGCATCTGTTGTGGTCACTGAACTTCAGGGAAATGGATGAAGTTGTGTGCCATGTAAATGTGTGTGTGTGTGTGTGTAGCTGAGTGTGTATTAGTGGATTGAACATAAAGACACTGAATGTGAAAGGATGTTACTGAGCAACGTGATGACTCACCTGTGATAGAAATCACTGTCCTATGCTGTGAAGCAGTGAGGGCATTGAGGGCTTTATTATCAACACTACAAGGTCAGGGCTACAGACTCCATAGATGATGAGTGTGATGTAGCCCAGAGGTAAACAAAAGGGTAATTCAGGAAGACTAAGACTTTAATTTGAACACATTCTGACAGCTTAAACATTGCCTCACTCCCTGAAGAAAACGTCAGACTCTTTCTGCCTTTTATTGTGAAGTCTTGAGGTCAATGCCATTTTTATCCCCCTTCTTCCTGCTGCTTTTCCAGGTGGAATATTGGCAGCAACTCAGGAGGGACCTCAGAGACGCACATTTTCCACTATGAACCGCGCCTTCAACAGGAAAAAAGGTAAGCAAAAATAACCGACGCTTCTCCCCAAGTTTGTGGGATTCAGCTCAGCCTATTTTAGCTTCAACAGTGTCTTCTCTCAGAGGTCTGACAGAGGAAACATTGTTGTTTCTATCAGTTTGTCCACTCTTTGCTGGGTTTTCTGGGTTTTATTTGAAGTGTTGATTCATTCAAGATATATTTATGATTTTAAGAATCAAAAACCATCTCAATGTAGTTTTACATCTCCTCTCTCAGGCTTCTCTTTGGAGATGTAGGAACAACAAGTCAGTGAACCAATCGGAGGATGGGCTCAGTGTCTGAATACAGGGAGAACTTTGATACTTTCACAGTGTTAATATAGAACCTAGACCTGCTTTATAATCAAAGAAGACATGGACATCTACCTTTAGACTATATGGGACCTTTAATGCTGAACATCCTCAGCATACTTCAAGATATTTTTTAAAACCTTTTTAAAATGTTTTTCTCTGAAATCAAATGAATTTCTCTACATGTCACAGTGTGAGATAAAAGAGTTGCATCTAGATGAAGTGCTCAATGTTCCTCTTTTGATTTTATGCTCATCAAGATTTAGAAACTCACCTGTGAATCATGTACACAAACGTTTTTGGTGAATGTCTGAAATGGAGAATTTGAATGTTTCCTCAATTTTAGCCCCGTACAGTCCTTTCATTTGGCAGGACCATGAAGTCCTCGCACTTTAAAGCTCTCATGAAAAACAACAACAACAAAAGAACTGCGTGATGTATATGTTTGGTGAAATAATTTTATGTTTTAAATAAAACCCATGCCACTGGGCAGCATCAAAGGCTGTTTGAGCGACACAGGCTGCAATAAAACAACCCAAACATAAAATGATTCATCCCACAAAGCTATGAAGGACAACAAACCTATTAATACGGGCAGTAAAATTAAATGACAGGAGTCATAACAACATACACTGCACATCCTGCCGTGCCTGTCTGACTGTTAGGCAGTGGAGAGGGTTGTGCCACGCTACAGAGTCTTGAGGTGACCCTGCCCAAATGCAGAGGAGGGGGAGATGTGGGACTGCGGTCTGCAAAACAGTTTGATGTGTTTACCACCATCTGTCCACCTCCCTCCGGTGTGAATCAACAGACCTGGAGAAACCTCGGACGGTGATGGGAAAAGTGTCCGGGGCCCAGGTGGTGCACCGGGCTTTAATGATTTTTTGCTGTTATAATTCACTTTCCCCCATTAGGTCCTCTATTTTAGGAGCTAAAGATGGTAATCAGGGAGGGCAGACACTCCCCTCCTCACCTTGCATTAAATTTCCCCGCTGATTGTGTGTAATGGAAATGCAGCTCCATCCTCTCATATTTAACTGGGATTTGATTTCTGTGAATTTCAGCTGATGTATTTGCGCATGCCTGTGCACATATTGCAGGGGTGTTCAATTAAAATTCAAAGGGGTCCAGTCAGACAAATTTTCTATATATATGTGTGTGTGTGTGTGTGTGTGTGTGTGTGTGTGTAGCCCTTTATATAATAGAATAATAATAACTAAATGTTCTTTTACCATTTCAAAGAAAATAACAGCTGTTATAAGTAATAACTACATAACAGAGTGCTTAATGAAATAAAAAGTGTAGCTTGACATTAAGTTTTTGTTGGTTAACTCGTTTTTGTTGTTAACACATCTCAACAACTGAACAGCTTCAACACGTCCTTTTCTCTTTCATTCCTCCTTATATTCCACTTTCCACTCTCCGCCGTCATCTTTCCCCTGTGTGTGTTTCTCACTCACTGACTCATAACGCAATGATTAGTACGAGTAGCGTCGTGTGACCAGTGCCGTAAAGGATAGATAAGCTGCACCGGGTAAAATAGAAACACTCCGTCAAAACTTAATATTGCTGAATGATATATAGATTATACGTCCGGGGTCAGATAGGAGGGCGTCTTGGTCTGGATCTGGACCGCGGTCCGCCTATTAGTGACCTCTGCTATATAGTGAGGGCATGTTGGAAAAAGACAAATGTAGTTGGAACAAGGCACCGTCTTAAAGTTGGCTTTGGCAGCAGGCATATGATGAGGGGCCCCTGCAAAAAGCAAAGACAGGAAAGTGCTCCCTCATCAAAATCTCCCAGAGCGGCCATAGCACACATTGTCCATTTTCTTTGCAGCTGTAGGGTAGCCGCCACGGGTGAATCCATTCAACCATCTGCCATAATAGTGCGTTAAAGCCTTTTTCCACTCAGAGTAGGACAGCGGTTTCCTGACCTCCACCATGCACTAATATGTCGAAACACCAACAGATGCCTGACCCTTAGGCTTCTCTCTAGATTTAATTCCTGCAACATCTGTTACAGTCAGTCTGTAGCAAATGATGCCAAAAGGTCCCCAACAGGTAGCAAAATAAAAGCTTTTTCCTTCCCAGAAAGATGAGGCGTTTTTTTAGTTTTTTTTTATTCGAGAGCATGAACCTCGACATTCAAAATATACTCCGTATATTTTGCTAACTGCATGCCTGCTCAGTGGACCGTGATATTCCAAGTTTACCGTTGCAAATCAAACTGAATGTTGATGAATGTTTATCCTCTAAAGATTTTGATGTACAAATCTGAATGAAGGCATTGATATGAGGTTTAAATTGGTGTTTGAATGAGTTGCTATCTGGATGATGAGGAAGATAAGCGGATGCATGGTGCAGTCGCTCCTCTGGGAGGGGTAGTGATGGGGGCAGGGACTTTGAACTGCTTTAGAATAGATTTAATAGATTTGTTTCTTGTTTATAATGCAGTGATTTGATTCCTCTGGCAACACAACTCTTTCAGTCTTAACCAAACTACAGTTGTTGATAAAAGTCACATCAGTCGGAAATATCATCTGATGTGCAGCATTTTATTTGCAGCTAACAACCTCCCACAAGAGCTGAACAAAGGTTTATTTGCCAATGATTTCACAACAGAGTGAATTATTCAGTCTCTGCTGAACTCTCTGCTTTGAGTTTTTGTTGCTGATAATATTACTTCCTCCCATTTAGTTTTTCTTTGTTTGTTTAGTTAAGAATATTTTTGATTTATTTGTTTTACACACAAAGAAATAAAGCAACGGGGTGGTTTTCAGCTTGTCTGTCATTGCTCTCGTTCACTCCTCAGCTGGTAATAACTCTGAATAGTCGACATACAGGCAAATATGTGTATAAATGTCCAAAGGTTCTTATTTATCAATCATTTTTTGCACCTTGCCTCCTCCTGGCTGCTTTTGGCTGAGAGAGTGAAGGCTGGCACTGATGACAGATCTGCTCCACTGATTTACCTCCTGCTTTATCTCTGCGTCTGGCAGTGTTTTTGGGCTTGATCACGTCTGGCAGGTAATGCCAGCAGGGATCTTGATCATTTTTATCTCCTATGTTTATTGCCCCATGCTCTTGGACGTGCCTCGCACTGAAAAGTTTGACTCCACAGAAGTCATGTGGACCTTTTTGGTGAGCTGCAGAGCAGCAGTTTTGAAAACATTACTCAACAGAATGTTATGTACCAGCAGTGTAACCTGCTCTGAGGTTTGTAGCCAGCTGATGATGGTCTGATACAGAAATCTGAAAGAGAAAAACACTCACCAGATGCTTATTATGTTATATTACCAATTCTGTTTTAAGACTTCTAGCACTACTTTGAATAATAATTAGTGTCTGATAAGTTTTTCCACAACAAATTTAAATTACTTATTTAAAAAGTTAAATTTGCATCCAGAATCTTTGGATATTTTTCTTGTAAAAGTTCAACACAAGGACACAAGACGTCTCCTACTTTAGGTCTCCACTTGTCCCATGTAATACGAGATTGTCTTGTATTTGGAAATAAAATGCAGTGGGACGCAATGTGTCCCGTGTTTTTGTACACGTCATTTCATTTATAAACTAAATGTAAACTAAAATAATGTCCTCAAAGTGCTGTGAATAATGTCATGTAAAACCAAACCAGTTGTAGTAGCTTACAAGTGGATTGGAGAAGTTTATCAGAGAGCAGTAGACTTGACAAGCTCTGTGTGCTGGGAGAAAATACACGTCACATGTCAGTGGTTGATGTCGGTAATGATGTCTGAAAGTCTGCAAGTGAAACGTACGAGGCCGTCAAGATTCAGGGCTGAATGGGAGACGGAACTTATTTCTTCACATAGAAGGTAGCAACCCTACGGAGAAGTTCATTCTCAGTGTGCGTGTGCGTGTATGTGCGTGCGTGCACCGGTGGTTTCAAGTTTCCATATCACACTTTGTTGGACTGTGGTCAATGATTGGCTTCCAAAACAGTTGTGATAAGTAACAAATCAACACAGCTTAAATCCAGAGTTAAAGGGAGCACAGAGGAATATTTCCCTTCAGCAGATGGATGTGAAAACAGCCGCGTAATGTCAAACTCTGCACAGACACACACATCATTCCTCAGAGTCAAGGCCAAACATCCAGGTGAACCCGCAATAAGCAAAACACACTTTTGAGCTGTCGGGGGACTCAAGACATATTTATCAATATAAGGTTTAGTGTAAGTTTAGAGAATTGTCGACTTTTCTTCACAGTGTCATGCAAAGGTTAGCTTTGGCTTTTTATTTTTACAGTTAAAGTGATGATTGTTGTTGATTGTCCAGTTATAATGTTACACTGTGCTGGTGATGTATTAAGAAACTCACATGTTAATTCTCTCCGTGATTGGAAACACACACTGAATCCACAGTGTGTGTGTGTGTGTGTGTGTGTGTTTGGTATCATAACTTTAGAGATGTAGGTCAGTGTCATTGCAGGTCACTGTAATGAGCTGCAGAGTGTCTGAGCTGATGGACTGCAGGAATGAATATATTACAGTTGTGTCAAACCAACAGATGGTTGCTGAAGATTAGTGATGTTGGTGCAGAAGAGGAGCCCAAATATATTGGTCCAGTGTTCTGTGATTATACAGGAGACAAGGACAGTGCACTGTTTACCCTGGATGTTCCTGCAGCAGTGGGAACCAGAGCTTGTGAGGTGTACCGGTGACACA